CCTAGGATTCCCTCGCTTTCCCTGGACATGGCCCTAGAGCAGCAATTTTTAACCTTTTACATCTCCTGACACATATAAGTTAATTACTAAAATTCTGTGGCATATCAAAAATATATTCTACTTTTTTGCTGATCTGACAAAAACTAGGTATAATTTTGATCAATTTACACACAAAAAATATTTACTTACCCTTTTGGGTTTCTGGTACCAAGAACTGACCAATCAGACACAGCCTTATTATGTGACTGACCAATGTGATGCAACTCTATTACATGATGTATATATATAGTTCAAGACAGGGCGTTCACATTGGATGACTATTGTGTTGGCGTCATTTTTTTTATTTGACAGTCTAAGGGAAAAGAGGTCAGTGCCCTGACTGGTCAGGTATTGCATGTTTTAAATTCTTCGTTTGTTGTTAATCTTCAAAGGATACTTTCCATTTATTTATTTTTTTTAGAGAGTGGAAGGGAGGTGGGGTGGAGAGAGAGAAACATCGATGTGAGAGAGAGACATCAGTTGGTGCCTCCCATATGGGCCCCCACTGGAGCTTGGGAACCTGCAACCTAGGTACATGCCCTTGACTAGAAATCAACCCATGACCCTTCGGTGGTGCTCTAACCACTGCACCACACCCACCAGGGCATGTTTTAAAAATTCTTGCAGCACATCAGTTGAAAAAAATCACTGCCTGAGTTGTCAGTCTTAGAAAAACATGAAGACTCCCTCACCTCTGTTTTCCTAATGTGCTTAAGCTCGTTTTAAAATATATTTTTATTGATTTCAGAGAGAAAGGCAGAGGGAGAGAAAGAAATATCAATGATGAGAGAGAATCATTGATTGGCTGCCTCCTGCACGCCCCACACTGGGGATCACCTGTAACCTGGTAATTCAACCGTGACCTGGTTCATAGGTTGACACTCAACCACTGAGCCATGTTGGCCGGGCCAGGCTCTTTTACTTTAATGGGAACTAGACAAAAAGAGGGAGTGTTCATTCCAGGGCATATGGTGGCATAGTTTTAGAGAAAATCAAGTTAACTATTGCTCCTTTTCATACCACAATCTATGTTATCGTTCTACAAATATTTATGCAGCTATTGAGCAATGCATGGGCAGTTGGAAATCAAAAGAAGTAATTGACCTTCAAGAGTTGACAGCGTCCAGGAAGAGTGCACACACGCATACACAAAGACATGTTAGATAAGATCTAGTTAAGGGTTTCAGTCCTCTGAATGATACAGAGCATAAAGGTGAGAGAAAGTTACAGGTTACTGTGGGCTAGAAGTGTTGGGGAAGTTTCACTGGAACACAAGGGCCTGGAGGTATGAGAATGGTCTGTTTTAGAGAACAAGGTAGAGCCCATGGTGCCTGCAACCCCAACATATGCCCTGATAGGAATTAAATCATGACCTCCTGGTTCATAGGTCGAGGCTCAACCATTGAGCCACACCAGCCAGGCTTATCTATGTTTAGGATGCAAAAAGAGTTCAGATTACTGTCAGACAACTCGGGACCCCAGACTCATTGACGTGCTGTGCCTGCGAGGCTGGGCAGTGGGATTCTTGGAGTCCAAGCCCCAGACTGAGCCCTCCTTTAAGCTGGATAAGGAGAAAACTTTCCCTAGTAGGAATTGAATCCGAACATGTTTTAGGCACAAATGGTCTTTCTGCTACTCTTGCCATTCCCTCCTCATCAATTTCATGCAACTAACTGGTGAGTGCAGAAGGAACCCTCTTATGGTCAGCGTGTGCCTCTAGTGGTGAGCAGCAGCTACTAATTATATAGCTGTCCATTGCAATCTGTTCAGATTCAAGCAGGGCCTACTAATTGAAACGTCTACAACTAAAAGGGAAATCATGGTTTAATGTTTTACTCTTAAACATATCAATCTCAGCTATTCTGAAAATTATTCACCGGAGTAGTCTCATTCAGAGAGGAAGTGAGAGAGATAGAAACATTAATGATGAGAGGGAATCATTGATTGACTGCCCCCTGAATGCCCCCCTACTGGGGATCGAGCCCACAACCTGGGCATGTGTCCTTGATCAGAATCAAACTTGGGACCCTTCAGTCTGCAGGCTGATGCTCTATCCAGTGAGCCAAACCGGCTAGGGCTCCTTCATTTTTTAAATAAATGATTTGCCAGTTAAAATAGATTCCAAATTAAACTGTTTATTCTTTAGTTTTTCAAATGCACAAGAAGCAGGTCAATATCTCCTATAATATTTTTATTTATTTTTAAAATACATTTTTATTGATTTCAGAGAGGAAGGGAGAGGGAGAGAGAGAGAAACAAACATCAATGATGAGAGAATCATTGATCGGCTGCCTCCTACACGCTCCACACTGGGAGTCAATCGAACCCACAACCCAGGCATGTTCTTGACCAAAATCTAACCTGGGACTCTTCAGTCCATAGGCCAACGCTTTGTCCATTGAGCCAAACTGCTAAGGCTGTAAGATTATTTTTATTATGGAAGTTTCCAAATCAAAAGTAGAGTAGTATGATGAACTACCATGTACCCATCACCCAACTTCCATCAATATCTGTATAAGACCAATCTGTCTCGTCTATATTTTCTACCTCCTCTCCCCAACTTTCTCTCTGCAACTCCAAAGAATTAAGTTAAAAATAAATCTAAGACAGCCTATATTTTCATCCATAAATATTTAAATATATAACTCAAGAGATAAGGACTTTCTAAAAAAATATATTTTTTATGATTTCAGAGAGGAAGGGAGAGGAAGAGATAGAAATGTCCATGATGAAAGAGAATCATTGATCAGCTGCCTCCTGCAGGCCCCTTATTGGGGATGGAGCCTGCAACCCGGGCATGTGCCCTTGACCAGAATCAAACCTGGGACCCTTCAGTCTGCAGGCTGATGCTCTATCCACTGAGCCAAACCAGCCAGGATGAGATAAGGACTTTTTAAAAACATAACTATAACATTTTTATACCTTAAAATATGAATAATTCCTTAATAAAAATATCCAGTCACTGGTCAATGTTAGTCAGTGATCTTACAAATGAATTTTTTATAAATACAATCATGTGCCACATAACATTTTCAGTTAATGACAGACTGCATAAATAAAGGTGGCCCCATGGGATGGATTATAATGGAGCTAACAATTCCCATTGCCTAGTGACATGATAGCCATCATAATGTCACTCACATTACTCACATGTTTGTGGTGATGCTGGCATAAACAAACCTGCACTGTCAGTTGGGTAAAAGTATATCACATATAATTATGTACATTCCATAATATTTGGTAGTGATAAACAGCTGTTACTGGCTTATGTACTTAGTATACTATACTTTGTATTATTATTTTAGAGTGTGCTCTACTTATTCAAAAAAGTTTGAGATAGCCCTGGCTTGTGTTGCTAAGTGGTTAGAACATCAGCCCAAGCACTGA